AATAATACATATAGCTTCAAAAAAGGACTGCTTGAAGAGAAAGTGGCAAAGCAAAAATTCATAGAAAACTTGAGCTTTGCGATTGGGACACTCTCCTTGTACATAAAATTGTTCCAACTTTTGGTTCTGATTTTGGTACATGTTACATACACAGAAATTGCTAGCATTGTTACCAACTTTTTGCTTTGTCCCAAACACTCTCAATACTCCCTGTATTTTAACGACCGTCCCCTGAAAGTCGCAATGTAGGTCAGTTTCCGCGAAATCGCATTACCAACTTTTGGGTGTGGCAGTCGGTAAACATGTACAAAGTACCTGACCGTTATGTTTCAAGGGGAAAAAGTCAATGGGTTTTGGGCGTTAACTATGTCTAAACAAAGGTTTACACAAAATTTAAACCGTTTTTACGCACGATTCAGAGAATTTCAACGACCACGCCTAAAAGTTGGGATGTCAAGGAAATCTTCGAAAAACGTCAAAAAGTTAAGTAAATCGAAGAGAATGACCGGTAAAAAGTCAGAGTAAGCAGTCAAAAAACTTGACAAAAAACACAGATTCTTGTTTTAGAAAGCCAAAAATGCAGAATACTGTTTACAACTATTGCAAAAAATATCTTATGCAACAATAAAATTGTTGTTTGAATGACGCAAATCCAGGAATAAATTCAAGGAATTTACGATACTAATCAAATTCTGAACGCCACAGGAAGTGGCTGATAAAATAAAGAAGCTTATTTTTATGCTGATTTGGTCGCCCCCTACTTTCTTAGATTCTCAATTTCAAGGAAAAGTTAAAATTTGCTACAAATTGTTCCACAAAAGCTCAGTAGGGCCCTGTGAGCCTTGGAGAGGCCTTTTTGTTGGGATGCTGCAATGAAGAAACTTTTTTTTTTGGGTTACAAGATACCCAATCATTTACTATAATTACACATCGCTATGAACCGAATAACTCAGCCAAGACAAACAGATCGTCTCCGCCTCAGTTTGCCTTGGCTAAGCAAGCAGCGAAATCGCCCAAAACAATTAAATTTTCGTACCTAAACGTCTCAAATAGCGCTTCCTTCAATAACTTAAAAAATTTACCAATCGTAAATGCCTTATTTTTGCACCAACCTGTCTGCCAGCAGATATTGGCGTTGTACTTTTATTTTCCTTGCATTAAAGGTTACAAAATGCTCTTTTGTGTAAGTAAGCAGAAATTAAAAATAGGCGCTGTCTGTTTAATTAGTGATCAACTTTTTTTTGGATGACTAAGCAAGGAAAAGAAGGTATTGAGATTTGTCGAGCTTTTAACACATTCCTCAAGTAATGTTTTTCTTTGACTCTTTCCTCACCAAGTCTGAGTAACCAAAAGTTTGAGAAAAATATCAAAAAACCCAAGATTTTCGATATTTTTTTGCTGATTAACGACTTTAAAAATAGAGAGTTTGTATTCGTCTGCACTAATTCGTCTATTAAATATAAAAACATCCTCCTCAAAAACATGCCCTAAATACGTTAACCTGGCTGAATTTTCAAAAAAATATTTTTAAAATCCCTCCATTAATGTAATGACAGTTGTTCTTTGAATGGTATTGCAAACTTTAATGCACTTTTTTGTATATAAAAATTTCGTTGAAAGTGCAAATAACCGCGCCTTAACGTCTGTCAATAGATGATCTTTGAGCTTTAATTTAAAATCGAACAAGGAAGTGACAATGAGTAGGCCGAAAAGTCTCAAAAATGGAAATCGTTTTTGTGGTGAGCCCTCCGCAAAACGCCTACATAAAGTTTGCAGCACTTATCATCAAAGAATGCATTCTAAATGATTCGGTCCGAACGGTGCACCTGACGAATTGTGCACCTGGCTGAACGGGGCACCTGGGTGAATAGTGCACCTGGCTGAACGGTGCACCTGACATTTTCTTGTTTGAACAGTGCACCTAGGCGAATGGTGCACCTTGAAAGAAAAAGTTTTGAAAGGTTTTCGCTTCGGGACTGGGAAAAATGATTTTTTTGGAAATTTTTTAAAAAATTTGAAAGGTTTTCGCTTCGGGACTGCGAAAAATGATTTTTTTTGGAAAATTTTTAAAAGTTTTCAAAGGTTTTCGCTTCGGGGCAGGGAAAAAGGAATTTTTGTGTATAATTGAAAAGAATTTGAAAAGTTTTCGCTTCGGAAAAGGAAAAAAACCATTTTTTCTTTGTGAAAAGGTAAATATGACAATGGAGATCAAAGCAAGTTTTTTGACTGATTTTTTTGTGTGTGAAAAGATAAATATGACAAGGGGGGATCAAGGTAAGCTTTTTTTGACAATTTTTTTGTTTGTAAAAAGATAAATGAGGGGCAGCATAATGGATGGAATGCCATCTTAAGCTCAAGTACAACGCTCAACAAATTCATTGAGTTAATATAACAGCGCGTGATCTTGAAAAGCAGGGACTAAACATCCTTCCAATCTTGACAAATCAGGCAATGCCAAAACGTCGGGCCTCTGATGTAGCCAGAGATGAGATCATAACAAGAGATTGCAAGGAGCATCGTGTTTCCCATGGAGAAAGTAAAACGGTAAGAAACGAAAGAACTACACTTACATCTGATTATTTTTAGGTTTGCTAGGTTCTGTTCGTATTTTTGTGGCGCACCGGCAACAGCCCTATTGGAATAACATTTTTTTTCACAGACGAAAAATTAGTCAGAACAAGTTGCCTTGATCTCCCCTTTCATATCTAGCTTTTCACAAACAAAGAAATCAGTAAAAACGGCTTACCTTGATCCCCATTTGTCATATAAAAAAATCCGTCAAAAGAATTTGCCTTGATCTACCCTTGCCATATTTATCCCGAAGCGAAAACATTTCAAATTTTATTAAAATTTTCCAAAAAAATCCTTTTTCCCAGTCCCGAAGCGAAAACCTTTCAAATTTTATTAAAATTTTCCAAAAAAATCCTTTTTCCCTGTCTCGAAGCGAAAACCTTTCAAATTTTATCAAAATTTTCCAAAAAAATCCTTTTTCCCTGTCTCGAAGCGAAAACCTTTCAATTTTTGTTCAATTGTTCATGAAAAATCCTTTTGCCCAGTCCCGAAGTTCACCCAGGTGCACCGTTCGCCCAGGTGCACAGTTCAAAATGTGTCAGGTGCACCGTTCGCTCAGGTGCCCCGTTCAGCCAGGTGCACTGTTTGTTTCAGGTGCACTGTTCGGACACAACCTTCTAAATTGGTAAAAAAGCAGATAACATTGATTCCACCAGTTTGCGAATCGTTGCGGAGAATGAGATTATGGAAAAAATTATGTGGAAAAAAAGGTGTTTTTATCTTTATCAAAAAGATGATATACATGGCATACAGCAAAACTGTTTCCCTTGTTTTCTTAAGCTAAAAACTCACGATTATTTACATGTTTACTTGTCGCTATAACCTTTTCATTTTGGTCTCTAATCCTCTAAAGTTACCCCAATCGATAGTTCACTATATTCTCTGAATCCACGTGCCGACTCATCAGCTGTGATCCTCAATATAAAACAAAACAACATTCCGAAACATTCTAAAGAATTTTCAAAAAACAATTGCCTTAGGCCAAGATGAAAATAGCCAATTGTTTTATTTTTTATCCACCCTCACACCGGTGATCAATCAGATTAGCCGGAAGCGATGACTGAGGACATAATAGAGGATCTCATGGATTCCTCGAATACTTGAGCTAAAAATAAAATTTGGGAGACTGATTTCGTTGTTTACGGATATTTGAAGGGTCAGTCTGAAAAAATGAAAAGATTCAAAGACTTTAGAGGAACGGAAGAAAACACGAGAAACTCGGCTAGCCAGAGATGTAGAAATGCGTTTTTGGGAAGAGTATTCAATTTGAAAATTAGCTCAAGATACTAATTACATATTTATCGTAGGAATGCCTTCCGTGGTGCATCATATAAAAACCGTCATAAGTCTATAACACGATTTTCGAGACAGAAAAAATGCATCCTAAATCTTAAGTTGAAATTCCTTGGATGTTTTACCAAAATTAATGGATCTCTATGTCGCCTTGCCACGTACGGTTCAAAAGCGCACTTTCTCGGCTATAAAACCGTATCTCCAATTTATCCCGTAAATCACTTTAAAGCTCACAAGTACTCACACAACTTTACGGCCCAAAAATACACAGGGCTTATGGGACCCCCAAAATCAAGTTCATCGTCAGCACAACAAGATTAATTAAGTATATTTATTGATTCACTCAAAATTTACAACGTTTGTAAAGAGATATTCCATTAGCATTAAAAATCTGTGATATTGCACGAGCAGAAATATGAAAGATTAATAGGATGGATGGAATAAAAACGAGGATACCCGTTTGTTTTGAAAGACAGTTAACTCTTACAGTTGAGCCGCAAAAAATATAGGAAACAACCGAGATTTTAAAGGGATGTTAGAACATACCATAGTGCAAGGAGTGGTAAAAATAATGCAAACTTTTAGTGGGTAAATTTGTGACTGAAACAAACATATGCCATCAAACATAATTTCAGGAGTGCTGGCAAAAAATAGTATGACTACAAATGGAAGTGAAAGTGATGACATATGAAAGAATGGCACCGCATACAAGTGAACACCAAAATTAAGTAAGAGACTTGAGAAAGGGGCGGGAAAAGGGCCAAAAAGGGGATTGAGAGTAATATTACCTTGATAAAAATCTTATGTTAAATTTCTCAAGGGCAAAAAAACATTTTGGAAATATGCAAATAATTGAGATACCTGTGGTTCTTTTGAGAGAACCAGCTTATCCAGAGAGACTGTGTGAAATCTAATAGATACAGGCCCCTAGATTTGAGTAATTCCCATCCACCCAATCGCATCTCACTTTACAACTGTAAATCCTCTTTGTAAGCCCCTTTCCGCTACCCTTCCTTGTGATCATTATATTGCACTAAAGAGATTTTCGTTAAGATTCAAAATAAATACAGACATTCCTTGGCCATCTTAACAACATTTTGGCCAAGAATAAACTAGCGGGTTATTGGAGAGAGACCTTATCCTCTTCCCTGATCTTTCCTGGGCTTATTTTCCTCCACATCGATTTCTTTTTTCTTCAGTGACTCCAGAAATGCTAGCGGTGGCTGGGCCTCTGGTTCGACGGGTCGGATCGCGATTTTCGTTGGTGCTACAGACGATTTTCTTCGCAAGATTTTAGCCGCGACTTCGTGATTCCCATTGAACTTGTTGAATGGAATCCATGCGAAAATAATTGGCAGTACAATTAAACCATGGAGAAGACCGAGGCAAACAACCAATGTAACCACTTTGACGAACACTTGGACCATATAGGCATGAATTGTGGCCAAGACGAGTAGAGATAGGACAGTGGAGGATCCAGCTTGGACCATGGGCCAGGCAATCGAGACTAGGGCGTGGCGGAGACGCTCTCGCTTGTCCTAAAAGAAAAGTTGTTGTCAAAAAAGGTCTTTATTGCTTCAAAGTTATCAATTTTAATCTTGAAGACGTTCAGAGACATTTTTTAAACAATTGTAAAATACGAAAAAACTTACCGCGATTTCACCTTTGTAATAATGGAAGGTGATATGAGCCACGAAATCAACCGAGAATCCGATGGCCATCAACGTCGAAGCCATTGAAATTGGATCCAAATCAATTCCCCAATAAAAGATGAGCCCGAAAACTCCAGCATTAATCGATAACACACTGCCAACTCCGGGGATAACAGTCGATAAATTGGGGGTGAAAAGAATGAGGACCACGATCATACAGAAGAGAGCGAACCCAACCGTCTGGACGGTCACTGGAGGGATGGTGAGAAGCTGAAAAAAGCAACATGAAAGATCGAAAAATTTGAAAGACTTTTTACATTTATAATTTTAGCATTATATATTTTACTGCTATGTTTTTATTTACCTGGTCGGCATACATACTGAAGTCTTCATAGACCGTAAGATTAAATTCCTGGTATTCCATTGCAATCGATCTCCAATTCTGCAACAGAACGAAGCGATCTCTCCATGTGACGGCGTTGTGGAAACCAGTGGAAAAGAAGAATTTGTTGATGCAAGTGGGCCTTTCCTCAGCGCAATCTCTGAAAAATCAAAGTCATCATTGATCTTCTAATCCCTCTAAATTATATATCCATCTCTATTATACACTTGGAGAGTTTTTTTCACACTTTTACAACCCAATAATGACTTACTGATCACTTCCCAAGTTGACAAAATGACTCCATCTGTGGTATTCTTGAAGGCTGAAGAACTCTGGCAGGTACTTGTAGTTGAAGTCGATGGATCCGTGATTCTGAAGGCCAATGAATGGCAAATAAGTATTCAGCCACATCTGGGTTGAAGATGGGCCAACACTTCCTTCAGCGCGTTCGAAATGCTCTAATATCCTCATAATTTTAGGGATTTTGTCGGGTTCCCGGAGGTCGCCGGGTGTGTTGATGAATACGGCCATCTGAAAACAAGTTATGAGTAAAAAAACTTTTTTTGGTAATGCGTTTTCTAACAGTGATGTTAGAGCGAAACTATAAAATTATACCACTTTTTAGGCGGTTATTTACGACAATTTACCTGTCCTCCCTCCTTGAAGATGATATTAGTCTGAAGCCGGACCAACTCCAGCAACGGGGAGTCATCCAAGAACAGCTTTTCCGAAGACAATCCAACTTGTAATTGGAACACTCCATAAATGGAAACGGCCCAATAACCAGCCAACACCAAGGTCAGCCCAATTCTGGCGGTCCAACTCATTGAGAAATCGACCCAATTGTCGACAAATCTGGAGCCAAAGGCATCCAAAGTTCTTCTCCAATGCGGCTTATCTTCCAACGAAGACTCGCGGGCAATACGACGATGATCCGGCACCTTGATGCAGGGAACATATGCGTTCAGTTTACGGTCTTCGCGGATTCCACCGATCATGATGATCGCCGAGTAGAAGATCACTTGGTATAGATAATCAAAGATCACGGCGACGGTGGTGAAAAGACAGAAAACCTGAAAAAACGGGTTAATTTTTAAAATACGTCTCTTGGTCCTACGAAATACACATGCAAAGAAGTTTTTTTGAGAGGTACACAAAACGAAAAGTGCCGGAAAACCAGAAAATGTTTCTCTCTATAGCTTTTGCTCCAAGAAAATCACTTTTATACTACTCGTTGCTAACAAGAATACCTATAAAATACCTATAAAATTAAAAAATTTAAAAAAATCCAGATTTGCACCAGATTGCGACATAACAAAATCCAAATGGCACTCACTCGAATAGCCGGAGTTGGAGTTCCAATTCCAATTCCAAAACTGAGCAGATTGGTCAAAGAAGTAATCGAAATGGATGGGCCGGCATCAGCCAACATGGTAGCAACTCGCTCTCGCAATGGAAGCTCGGGATCAGTCCGATGCCAGGAGTGGAGGAAAATAAAAACATCGTCGACCCCAATGGCCAAGATGAGGAATGGAACAACGGTTACGATTGGAAGGAATTCAACTCCAAGCTAAAAAGTAAAATTTGTATATCATTATGGTTTTCCAGAAGACCTATAACATTTATTTTCATGTGCAGGTCCACATTTTCAGTTTTTCGTTTCAGGAAACTCACCCAAAACAGCAGTCCAAACGATGCGCACAACGACAGAATGGGGCAGATGACACCCGCAAACGCTTCCCAAGGCTTGCTCCTAACCGGATCCCGCTTCAACGACGTCACAACGGTAAAGATCAAGATGACAAAGAAGGTGACGCTCATCAAAGGAAGGGCCTTGATTCCAGTTCGACGCACCTCTTCGGACATCAGACCTTCAGAGGTTGTGTGGAGCTGGATCAACGAATCATTGTGAGTTTTGAGACAGTAGTCGAGAACTGCATGCTCCCATTTGGACATGACTTCGTGGATTGTGTCATTGCCCCAAATGGCGTGGAAATTGATTGTGATGAGACCGGCGCCTTCGATGAGGTGCGATCTGGAAATAAAGGAGTGTAAAAATTATTATAAAGTTTCGAAGCCACAAGAAGATTATACAGAATGATGATCAAAATATAATATATTAATATATGAAACACTTGACTCAAAAGTGTCAAGCCTTTCCCTAACCCACAACATCGCCCATTCTTACCGATTATTCAACTGAACCTTGAAGATATTGTTCGCCAGATAAACTCTATGCCCGAAAACATCCATTGTTGGGAAAGTCAGCTTGACGTTTGCTTTTCCTCGATGTTGAACATCTCTGTACATGTTCAAGAAGATACTGACGGCATCACTCGTCTCACATTGAGCTCCGCAAAAGTCAGAATACGTGTAATAGCGACCTTCATGCTCTACTCGGAGTTTATATTGAAGATATTCTTCGATTTCCAAGGCTCGATCAATGTATCTAAAACGTTTGATTAGAGTGTAAAAATGAGATTAAGATACAGAAATATAATGAAAATTTGTAAGGCTGGCTTTCCCTGAGCAAGTTTTCTTACCCCGGCCTTAAAATAGAGCCTCGGTCCGTCGCCAACATGGCCACAATGACGTGGAATGGTTGGCCAAGCTCTTTGAAGAACTCCAGGGCCACTTTGAACTCAAATCGACTGGGCGAATTGTCGGCGCTGAAGTGATCTCTAACATCATTGACCTCTTTGAAATTGATGACTCCCACACTGAGCAGGAAGGCGGCGATTGTACTGAAAATACACAGGTTATTGTGGAACAGGAACGAAAAGTGCGAGAAAAATTATTGAACATAATAGCTTGTGGATTTTTTAAATCGCGTTATGCAGAAATTTTAGAAAAAAATTAGCCGGAAAAATTAATTTTTTAGTTTGCAGTTATTGTGGCGGTAAAAATTATTTTTTATTTTGAACGTAATGTAGAATTTCGCAGAAGAAATTCCCGAAGACTCAAAAAATCTTAGTTTGCGAATTTTATTTTATTAAAATAATTACTGTGCTACATTTTGTAAAACAGAAAAATTAAGAAAATTGGTTTTAAAAACAAACAAAAATTTTAAATTCCTCAAATCGACAAATCGTAATTTACTGCCACTAAAACTTTTACGGCACTCAAAAGACGTCTGGAATGGTCAAAAAAGGGAGTGCCCTCACCTCACGATCAAACACCACCATGGGTAATCGGCGATGAACAACCCGATCCTGTAGAAGAACTTCTGGGCCGCCGCTTCCACTCGCAACGCCAACTCCGGTATCCCCCAACTCTTGGAGGACATTTGGGATTTTTGGCGGTTTAAAAAGGTCAAGAAGTTAGAGCTGGGCTGAAAAAAAAATTATTAAAAAAATAAAAAAAAGTCTCTGTGTAAAGAAAATCCTTGAGGGAGTAAAAAATTTTTTATACAAATAAAAAAAAGATTGCGTAAAATTAATAAGACACGCAACAAACGGGGAAAGTCGGTTTTCACGTAGAAAAAATTGGATTTAGAGGGGTTTAAAAAATCTCTCATCTTCGGCGCATCCCCGCGAAGAACCGGATTGATAAGAAAAAATTAAAAAGTAAATGGCGAACATAAATTGTAAGCAGTTTGAAGGGGGAGTTTGTGGGCAAAAGAGTAAAAATGGAAGATAAATAAAACATTTCTGTAAAAGATAAAATAAAAAGCAATGTAAAAAAATCACTAAGATCAGAGGGATCCGTATTTTACATTTTTTATTCATTTGAATCGTAAAAATGACATTCAGCCAATGAGAGGGAGACTTGACCCACTTGGGCCAAGTCTTTCTCCCATCTCCAACAACCCATATTTTCCTCAGACCCTTACTAATACAGCTCACAACAATCTCAACGATCACTATTACTAAAATAAACCTCACCCCACTCCCCAACACCTCCTAAAACCCGATCCCAAACCCGCCAAATCCCCCCAAAATCAACCAAAAAACACAAAGATGATGAGAAATAGGAGCGATGAAGATCAGAGGGATTGATCGAACAAACAAAAGACAGTTCGTTCCGTTTCATTACGCCGAAAGAAGACGTCGGCGTAAATAATATTGCTTTTACGAAAACACGCGAGGAGAGGGGGGAAGTTGGGATGAGCTGGATTTATAACAGCTCCGATGGGAGAGGAGGAGGGATTGCGTTAAGATTGTAATTGAGAAACGAAACAGAGTTTGGAACGGGAAATTTTTGATAGAGAGCTTTTTTGATTTGGCATGGAGATCTTCGGGTTGGAGAAATCTCAAAAAATTGCAAAATTTAGCGCTGGAAGCCTTGAGGAGTGTGATCAAAAATAAAACATACGTTAAATATCAGACAATAGGTTTGCAAGACATATGGAAGCTTTTCGAGGCCGCAATGCGCAGGAAAAATTGAAATTTTAAGGTCTAAATCGGTTAAAAATCGACTTTGCTCCGAATTTTGGGCAGTTATGAATATAAGGGGTAAATTATGCCAAAAATAAACCTTTTCCAAAAAAAATGTAACAGAACGTCCCATTATGCCTCGTGCTTTAAGAAAATGCTCTTAAATTCTCCAAGAGCTATCGCAAAAATCAGGAGAACGAAGAAGTTTCCAGCGCCGCACTTATTGCTAGCTGAAAATAAAATCACAACGGCTCGAAAGAGCACATCCTGCCAAAAAACGACCTCCAAATACCGAAGCTCTGAATGTCAAGTTCAATAACCACCCCATGATCACCCCATCGCCCCTTGACTCCACTGATTTGCGGCGCTAAAGGCACAGAACCGGTGTTGTGAATCGCTCGATTGCCGGAAGAAAAGCTCGATTCTTGAAGGGCGAATAAAGTGCCGACGCCCAAGAGGAAGGGGGGAAACCGATGTTTGAAGGATGCGACGTCGCATATATAATTGAATTTTGGAAGCGATTGAAAGTGAAAATCACCCGCCGAACCGGTGCAAACCCCGAGGGGGAAAAGGTTTCGAGCCAAAAAACATCCCCCAAAGAATGCTCTTCTTCTGGAGAACATTACATACTTCGTAGGAAGAAGAGGCTTGGGGATGAGTAGAGGGAATATGAATATAATTTTTGATTGGGATTTTATGAATCTCGAAGGGGAGATTGGAAAGATTGGAGGGATAAAACTTTCTGTAGAAGGAAAAGACTTTTTCAAACGAAGTAACAAAAGTTTTTGAAGGGCTGGCGACTTCTGTGGGTCAAATTTTATTTTGCCGAGGCAATAAGTTTTGCTGCGACAAAGCCACATTATTTTTCCGACAGATATATTCTCGGACATTAGCCGCAGAATTTTTTTCGCCGACGTCGCGCGTGAAGTTGGAGTCGACACGCGAAAAAATGCATGTCGCTTGTGCAAAAACGGAAGTAGACGGGTAAAAAATCAGAAAAAAAACCACAATGCAAATTTTACAGACGTTATGCAGTATTATACGTCAAAAAGGAGGATCATTTGAAGTCTCAATTTGTCTTAAATTTGGCCCAAAGTTCATAATCAGGAACTATCTTTGCCATCAAATTGCTGTAAAGTATTCTTCCTACTGTTTATTTTACTGTAAATCAAAATATAGGCCGTGGAAAGTAATATTGCTCCCTAATCCGCCCTTGAAAATCGAAATTCCCTCAAAAAGTTTGTGTAGTATCCTACAAACTCCGCACCAAATCTTCCGACTGCCCCTCCAGATCCTCCAAACCCCATCCGAACTCATCCCCGTCGAAACATTTCAGTGGGTTCAAAAAACTTGCAGGAATTTTCGAAAAGCCCCGCGCTTTCTGACCTTCCAAGGGCATCGCCGAAGGAAGCCGGCTTACAGATTCTGGACGGGTAAAAGAACCGGATAACCAGACTTGATCTTTTCGCCACCTCGCCCATTCCAAGATTTATTGCGGTTGTTGTAGCGAGGCGATGAATCCCCGCCGCAAAATAATTTGAATATAATTGTAAACAAATATGGAGAAAATCCTCGTTGTTTGAGGTTCTAATTAAAAAAAAGCTTCGTTCCTGATGCAAAACAGAGATCAGAGACGACGAATGTGTGTAGATAAGGAGGCAACATATATAGCGAGGTTTTGAATACTAAATTGAAAGTACCACCCGTGTGGTTAAACAGTCTATTAGCGACGTTCACGCAGAATGAGAGTGACCGAAAAGAGCGGCTGATTAGCTGGCTGGCTGAGAGTAAAGTGTGATGACGAGGAGCTCATTTAGGAAGCGATCCATCAACCCGCAGAAAAAAGTAAAACCAAATAAATTAGATGAAATTTCGATGCGAAATCTGGGAGAAGAAGATTCGACAAGTCGGATCAAGCGTGCCCAAAACTACAAGATATAAGATACGCGTTTTTGAAACCAAAAACTTTTTCGTCTATGTGCAAGAATGCGCAAATAATCGAGAATGGCGGGAGATAAGCGTTGTCTCCTGAAAAGGATTATTACCAACTTTAATGCGCGGGTTGCACGAATCACGGAGACGTTAAAAAAAAAAGCCAAGCGAAGTATACTGTTCACCTCCTGGATTGCCAGAATAAGCCCAAAAAAGATGACTTTAGTATTGAGCTTTGAAACTACTGTAGGCTCTCTAATTCTATCCTAAAATCACTGGACAACCTTCTATCGCTCACAAGAATCCAAGGAATGCAGATGCTTCAGTTCACTCAAATCCCTCCATTTTTTCCTCACATGTTTCCGCCGTTCGGTGACGTCAGGAGCGGTCAATGGAACCGCTTGAAATGGATAAAACCCCCTGTGACTCACTGGCTATAAAATGGATCCAAGTCTAACAAGGTTAGCAAACCAGTCATCTTAGACATAACAATAAAGATTAGATTAAATCCTCGGATCAAACAAGTGAAAACCACAAAAATAATCAACCGAATTTTGAAGTGTTGATTTTTGAATGTACCCTGCTTCACATCACACGTCAAAGACAAATAATCGACGTCATTTGAAATCCTCAAAATCCGCCTACTCCTCGACTTAAGCCTTCGATTTTACTTCCTTAATCAAAAACAATCGAAAAATCACTTTCGACATCGCATAATCCCGCAATTAGCACTCCAAAAATTAGCTGCGGTACTCGAGTGCACAGTTGAGTAATTTGTGCGGCTCTCTAAAACAAAAGACTTGGAGTGGACGAGATGGAAATGAAGTGAAAATCGCCAGAACCTGCTTCGAATGACCCCGCGTGCAGACAAAACGTCGTCTCGATTAAAGAAAGTTTCTTTGTTCAATTGACTGGATACGTACAAGGAAATGAGAAAATGAGGGGGTAGAGTCATCGTGGTGGTTTTTGGAACCGAAGAATGAAAAATTTTAAGAAGAGTAGGCAAATTTTCAAGTTGATTGAAATAAAGTTTTTCTTACGGCCAAAAAAAGTTTCTCGGCAATAACTTTTCAAACCACCTCTGTAAAAAGTTCATTTTCGCTAGAATCATAAGAAAATAGAAAGTCATTTCTACTATAGATATAAAAGTTGAAAACCCCGACTGATGATCTCCACTGCCGTCTTCAAAGTTGAATCAGAAACGGAAGTCAAGTAATCGCGATCGTTGATCCAGAATCCATGACAAACGTAATTTTTGAAAATTTTTCCCCTTAGAACATCCCAAAATCTTCACTGGACTCATCAAAAACAGCATTTAGTTGTCAAAAAAATGAATTGAGAGAGAGCCATTGGAGTGATCACTGATCCAAGAGGGTAAATTGAAACTCGACAAATCCCGCTCTCCAAGAAGATCGCCTGGACATTTTCGCGAAATCCAAGAGAAGAGATCGCCGAAGATGTTCAGCCAATTTCTTGAACAAATTAAACGTCTCTTCCGAGTTGTTTCCAACCACAATTTAACCTTAATCCTCTCCCCGAGAAATCAACTAATAACTTTTCCTTCCTTGGTCACAACGGAAGTGGAATTGACGGATATGGCTTTTGAAAACTAATAGAAAACGCATAAAAAGTTTTTATAATAGCAGTAAAAGTAGAATACAAATAGGAAAACACTTTCATTTTTGTGGTCATCGCTTCCGAAGGCGATCGGAATTGGTTACCGTTAAGGGATTTGTGGTAATTTGGAAGGAGAAAAGGGTTATCTAACGACCGCTAGGTTGTCTAATCAAGGATTTGGAGAGGATAAAAGTGAAGAAGATAGGGGCTGGAGATGTTAGAGAGATGGTATTTGAAGAGCAAACGTTTTGACAAAGGCTTTATTTGAAGAAAATAAGGAATAATGGAAAAGAAAATTTGCTGTAGATTAGAAGCTCGTAGCTTGAGTAGACCATCAGATCTAGTTTGTGCCATTTTATTGTAAAATCTATTATATACAAAAAACCGAAAGGTCATTGGCAAAAAAAAAAGTTTTTTTGTCTGGCTAGGCCTCCTCATTTTACGGATTCCTCCATAATTTAATAAATATATCTACATCTCAGCTGAACCCGTAAAACACAAGCTTATATTTTCAGGGATTGAAAAGTAGCCGTATGTGAAAAAATCAAGGGGTCACACATAAGTAGTCCGATAAGAAAACATTTTAAAAAATGCTGACAAATATCCTCTGAAATTCCAAAATTTTTGCAAAAACCTTCTGCAGCGATAATCCCTCATTGTTGTCGCCCTGATCAACTCATCCCTGGCGGTCATTTTGGAGACAAACCAGCCCCGTTAAAGACCCCGCCCGAACCCGTTTTCACCTCCTCTTCACCTTCGCCATCAATCACCGCAACGTTGAGGCAGGTGAACGCGTGAATATTAAGTAATAAATTCTCACCCCCAGGGCTTCTGAATTATTTCTTCGTCACGCTCAATTCACTTTTCGTTTTCCGCGAGTGACCAGTGGGAAGGGAAGGGGGGTTTAGACGAATTGGGATAAAAGAAGGAGAGGGACGCAAAACAAACTCCTTCCCCTCACTCCTCTAATAACGGAGATCCGAGCACGTTGATGAGGGATTTGCAAGTCGAGAAAAAAACTCGATTTCTGAGGGCGTTCCGACTTTCGTGGAATAACAGTGTCAAGTATTGCGCAAGGGCAAAGGGGCAAGCAGTGAAAGTTTTCAGGAATGGAATTACGGAACTCGTGTCATCCGAAATTTTGCTGTGAAATAAAAGGGCATTTAAATTCAGAGTTCGAAAGAGTGCGATGAAAGGAATGAAAGTTCAATGATTATGAATAAAAAGTCAAATGTTATATAGAGGTTACATAGGTTATAGAGAGTAAGTGTCGAAATATAAAACTGGGAGTAAAACTTGACTCAAATCAAGCCTATAATTTTTTAACACATATAGGAGAATTTCAGCCCCGAGAGTTCAATTGCAAAAAAATAGAAGGATTTTTCCCTGAGCCCAAGAACATGGCACAAAAAACTCTCCTTTTGCTTCGTATTTTACAAAAGTTTCTACATAAAATTCTCAGAGCAAAAGAAGATCCTATACATAGCTAATCAACGATAATTCACTTTTTCCCCACTGATCGACCAGCCTTCAAATCTCTAGTACCCTTCCACAAGCCTATCCACAACACAACGCACCCCTTAAAAGTCCGACGAAATAAATCAAAGCCCCACCTTGATTACTCCTTTACCCTCCTCATCTCATTTCAGCTATCAATATAAACGAAGATGTCACGAAACCTCAACGTCATATAAACTCTTATCAAAGATATAATTTGCGACATCCCTTCATCGCTTTTTGATTTCGACTTTATCGTCGCGACAATAAAAATGAAGAAAACGAGGTTTGCAGCCATTTGGACTTCCGGTCACTTTTCGATTAATTTTTACCCCGATTAGAGGTTAGCGATGAGAGAGTTGAGAAGAGTAAAGTAAATAAAAGTGAAGTTATTAAAAGGGATTTGACCTTTTTGTAGTTTGGAATGGCTACTTTATAGTAAGTAAAGCGATTTTAAAGTAAAAGCTGTTGAATATGTCTCTTATTTGAATAAAAAATAAAATTATAAACTATAGTTTACAAGGTTTCTGCTTCCTCGATGAACTTAACAGAACAAACTTCAATAATGCTATAAAAAAACAGGTCCTACGGCAAAAAATTGATTCTCAGATTGTAGCCTTAGGAACGGTAAAGCTCCAGGAAATTTGGATTGAACTTTTCATACTTTTAAAATGCACCGAACTCATGTTTGTTTAGCCTTTTCCGGATTCGGCCGTGATAATGTCAGCATCCAAATAGTTCGCCAATTGCTCTGCCAATTGCAAATATAAATGTGAAGCTTGCGGAAAATGATGTTACCCTTCTAAAACGCCGCGAACGGAGATCAGTTCCACTATGCTCCCTAAAATTACTTTGATTGGCATAGTGGTTGTTCTGACGCCTCTGTTGATTAGAGCAGCCCCAGAGCAAGTCCACCTCTCCCTCTGCAAAGAGCCAGATTGCATGTCAATTAGCTGGGTTACGACGAACAATGAGCCTGATCAACAACTTTGGTTTGCAAGGGACAAGAACAACCTGAGTCATTGGAGGGCCGCTGACACAAAAATGTGGACATTCAGAGGAAAAACAAGATATATGCATAGGAAGAGGATCTACAATCTTCGTTATGACATGACCTACTGTAAGCTTCCACAATAAGTCGTCATTTTAACCCTTCTTTTCTAGACTACCAAGTTGGCAATAATGAGACAAAGTCAAAGATATTTCACTTCAAAACCTTCCCAAAAGGCGATGATTTCCCTTTCAAGGCAGCTGTTGTTGGAGATCTAGGCGTCAAAGGGAAGTCATTGCCTTATATGGTTAAAGCAGCGCAAGAGAAAAAGTATCGGCTTTTTATATTGATAGGTAAGTCAGCAAAAAAATAATTGTAATTCTTGAAGGTGATCTTGCCTACAATTTGCAAACGAACCAAGGACGAAGGGGAGATCAATTTATGAACATGATAGAACCAATTGTCGCTTATGTGCCCTTCATGGTCATTCCGGGGAATCATGAAGACGATGGCGAGAACTTTGCAAACTTAAGATACCGCTATGATATGCCAAATTGCCCGCAAAAGGACAACCAGTATTACAGGTAGAGTTTGAAATGATTTGTGATGTGTACGTTGCAGTTTCAAAGTCGGACCAGTTCAATTTATTGCTGTCAGCTCGGAGTATTACGTTCTACCGCATAAATACGGAAGAAAGAACTTTGACGATCAATATAATTGGCTGAAGTCTGAACTGGTGGTAAGCTAATACGTTGCCTAACAACAAGACAGCATACGAACGAAAATTATGTCTTATATATGTACAGGGTGACCCAAAAAAACGATCATCAAATTTGTTTGTGATATTATATATATATATATATATATATATATATATATATATATATATATATATATATGGGTGCAATCCTTTACTTTAATCGAATACGAAGCTTCTTTTTGCATGACATTCAATTTTGAAACGCATTTCAGAAAGCAAATCAGAACCGCAAAGCCCATCCATGGCTGATTACCTATCAACATCGCCCAATTTACTGCTCGAATCGCCCGACAAATCGTTGCCGTAATAAGGAAAGCTGGGCCCTTCGCTATGGAACAAAGACTGAGCCTGGGCTGGAACCCCTTTATAACAAACATTCGGTCGATATCAACTTCAGTGGACATCATCACGACTATGAACGATACTACCCAAGAAGTGGCAGATATTACTCCAAGTCTCCTGCTCCCTATTTCAACCCATTAGCTCCAATCTATATTATTTCTGGAGCCGGTGGAGGAGCTTACGAACCTCATACTGCCTTTGATAGGAGCCCCAGCAAGATGAGTGCAAAGCGAGTGACTGATAACGGATATACGATCTTGAGTGTCCACAATAAGACCCATATTTATTTGAGACAGCTATCGGTGGAGAACGGGGAGCATGAAGTTGATGGATTGTGGATCCGAAAGGCTGTTGGTTGGGTGCCTCCTTACGGATAAACAAATAAAATTATAATTGAATAAACGCACAGAGTTCATAGTTAAAAAATATCCCAATTTGAAGAAATCCCAGATTTATTTTGTGGTAAAATGTATAGAAAGAGATTGAATCCCGCGTTAAAATCAGCAGAGTGCGGTTATCCAACCGCTAATCTCCCCGTATCACTCTAATTAAACCCGAGCCCAAACATAGCCATCTTAGAAATGAAGTCAAAACAACGTCATCTACCTCAGACCCGAGGGTTTATCCATTTTCCTTCATTAACGCCACTTCATTAGATCCATTGCAGACCGGTTTGTAACGCCCGATCTTTGCGAACAACGACGAAGAAACGCCATTAAAGTTTACCCAGTAAATTAACCAAGAGTAAGTTACATAATGCCGCATTTTTGTCTGGTTGACTAACAGCAAAATTGAATTTTTGTCTGAAGATCGTAAGTTTCTTTAGGGTATATCAGCCATGTAAAGAAGTACATACTTTTTGACATAGCACCAATTTAATAAAAGTGAAATCAAAACGTTCCCTAGAAAAACTTACAGTCTCATTTGTTGTAAATTGTTGTTTACAATCAGCCTTTCCAAAGCCGGTTTTGTGATCAAGGTCAGAATTGAAATTAAAATCTTTTGACCTTGCTTGTCAATTATCAATAATACTTGTAAACTCCTTGAAACTCTAGCTTCCGTTGCAAGGCGGCCTTGAATTAACCGGACCTTGCAAGAAAAGCAAAGATGCCCAAGAAAGGGAAACCCCACTTTTTCATTGTATTTTATTTCCCATTCTTCTTCAGGGTAGAGAGTGTGCTAAATTTTCTCATGATATAAAAGAGTATATATTTTATGATGTGTTTTGTTTTTCTATCATCACTTGGAGACTTCTTTAACTTTTTTACAATGTTTTTGATAGTTTTTGTTACATTTCTGGTAAATAAGTGAAATAGGTCATTTTGTATGCCCTGTTAAAAGAATTTTGCAAAATTTAGCTTGCGTTATCAGTTGAAAAAGTCATCTTGATAAGGACATGAAAAAGATTAGTTCTGTTTCTATTCATTTAACTTTGTTTGCTAGGTTTTATGGACCTCAGAGATTAGAAAAAAATGAGAAGTCATTTTCCAAACGCCAATTCGGCAGTTTTTTGGGGTTTTTTCCTTTTGGTACTGTAGTGGACCTGTTCTTTGGTTTGCTTTGGGTTGGCATTTGATTAACCCGGTAATTAATCCAAAGCTTTGAGGCATCTTCGTAAGACGTTTGGCTTATTTTGAACACAAAATTCGGCTATGTAAATGAGAACATATGCCGTGGGCGGTTTGCTGGGGTGGCGTGGGCGTTGCAATGATCTTGGGGTGGTAGAATTTCAGAGGAAGGGCCAAGATGACAAAAGTTTTTTCACTTACAACCGGACCTTGATTTGACGTCGTTTACAGCGGGTTTTACGTCGAGGATGCATTTTTTGCACTCTTGGCCTACATGAGGCTTCCTTTCAACCCAAAAAAAATTTCAATCCGAAAGACAAAGATCGAAAAATTCAAGGGTATGGGGATTTTCCCGAAATTTTCTAATACAGGGTGTTTCAAGAAATTTGGAACAAATGATTTGCTTATATCTTTGTGTTCTTTGCAGCTATCAACGAATTTCTTTTTGCTTCTAAAAATTGACAGCGTGCGTTTTTAGAATATCAAAAAAAAAATTTTTTTCGTCGGCGAAGGGTCCATTTCTCGACGGAGAAAATTAGGGCCTTTTTTAAAAATCACAGCGTATTACGTGGCGGAAACGCCGTTGCAACGGCTGAAATCAAGTTTACGTAATACCTCCATCGATTTTACGGTATGCTTTTTTTGCGTTTTCGATTTTACGCACTTTTGCGGATGCGCGGCGGAGACCTCAGATTTCGGCGGACGTTGTTTTGCGCCTTTGGCTATTGCAATTCATGTTGGAAAAGAGGTTGGGGTGATTTTTTGTTGTCATCCAATGCACAGATGGCAAAAATTTCGTGCTTTTTTTCCCCGGCGGAGGATTCGGCAGAGGCTTTATCAAAGGGTAAAAACAAAACTCCGCCGATTTGTCCGCCGGACCAAAAAAATCAAAAATCTTTGAAAGACAATGCTGCTCTGATGGATTCTTGTAGCTGAGATTTTTCCCGGACTCGTAAGACAGCTTAGACCCTTTGATAAAGCCTCCGCCGAATCCTCCGCCGGGGAAAAAAAGCACGAAATTTTTGCCATCTGTGCATCGGATGACAACAAAAAATCACCCCAACTTCTTTTCCAACATGAATTGCAACAGCCGAAGGCCCAAAACAACGTCCGCCGAAATCTGAAGTCTCCGCCGCGCCTCCGCGGTGCGCGTAAAATCGAAAACAAAAAAATGCATACCGTAAAATCGACGGAGGTGTAACGTAAACTTGATTTCAGCCGTTGCAACGGCGTTTCCGCCACGTAATACGCTGTGATTTTTAAAAAAGGCCCTAATTTTCTCCGCCGAGAAATGGGCCCTCCGCCAACGAAAAAAAATTTTTTTTGAGATTCTAAAAACGCACGCTGTCAATTTTTAGAAGCAATAAGAAATTCGTTGATAGCTGCAAAGAACACAAAGATATAAGCAAATCATTTGTTCCAAATTTCTTGAAACACCCTGTATGTTTTACAAACGACATTCTCTATTTATCCTTTGGCCAATCAACTGTTATCTCTTGTGCCACATTAATCTATGAAAATAGTACTTTCCTTCTACACTTCAAGTTTCTCGAACAAACAAATGTAAACCACAAACGCAGAGTTCGCTGATCAGTTGTAAATTTTGTTACTCCGATAAGAGTTCAAAGGGTTTCCGCAAACGTTCTAAATCGGGAGTGTTTTCGAAATTTCTGATCGCTTTAGTGCGTCTAACCTCATGTGAGTGCAACTTTTACATTCTCTTGATGGCAGTCGCTTTGAAACCATTTTAAGACTACGGCTTATCTTTTTTTACACTTTTTATTGGAACATCGGTGGTCGACACAATTTTGTAAAAATGGTTTGAAATAGGTATCAAGGTCAGGGAATTGTTAGCGGGTAATTTCCAACTAACTTGATATGTGTGAAAAAAGTTCCGCAATTTGTAAATTGTCAGATCAAATTATTGAAAAATGTACTTGGTGGTGGCTGGTACTGGAATTATCACTGATGTCATTGTAATTTTTTTACAAGGAAAGGTGCTTCTAAGAGTTACAGGTCGAGTCATATATCAAAAAAATCGCAAAACTTTTCTGATTCAGAATGTATGTAAAGGTTAGCTGCCTAATTTTGGTTTGTAAGGGTGAAAAAAATCCTCAGAAGTTTTCACGCAACACCACTCAAATGCCTCTCTGACAAAGTTTTAATCACATCAAAAGGTTTGTTTTAGGCTAAAGTGAACCCTGGCATCTTGTCAAGCCTTAAAATGTCAAATTTAATTAATATTGCGCCTTAATTATACTAGTTCCAATATAAAAAGGGGGAATCTGTGTGGTGTTGCGAGAAAAGTTCTGAGGATTTTTTCACACTTACGACTCGACCTGTAACTCCATTTCCCATAGAAGTACTTTCCTCGTTAGAAGAGGTTGTTGGAAATGAGGAGGCCAAGTTAGAGAAAAAAAAGTTCTGAAAGTAATATGTGTATCTTTATGATATTTTCGCCATTTGTAAATAACATCACAATCCTGTCTGAAGCTCCCTTAAGTGCACATTTTTTCTATAAATTTTTTAGTCCGACTTATTTTCGTTGTTATTTCATTCCCCGGTCCAAGTTCTTTACAGTATTGCATAAACGATTGGGTTTAGAAGTTGTTATGAAACAAATTGCCCACGTTTCTTATCACATCTAGGGTTCGCATTCCACCGGCGAGACTAAGAAACAAAAAAGTCACATGGCGCCGTCATCACTTGACTCGTAAACCTTGTCTTCCGGAAAGGGGGTTCGCTTTAAACTCGTAGTAATATACCGTAATCTTCACTTGTTTATGACTTTTTTTTGATTCTTTTTCTGATTGGGCTGGAGAAAATCCTTACCAAAGCTAGAGCAAAGAGGCATTGGTAAGGATGCGGATCCAATGAATCATCGGGGAATTCCTTTTTGGCACGTCCTGTGCTGTATAACAAGTTTTGTTTACATTTATTTTTGACGTTATCGTGTCGTGGAAAAACCTTTTGCATTGCTCTCGGTGTAAGAGGCTCGGGATTTTTTGTAAAGTAATGAATCAAAGTGGTTTTACAATTGGGGCGATGACTAATCCTACAGTAGGAGGAAGTCGGAGAAATGGAGGGTATGAGGGGTGGAACATTCGGGAAATGGGTCATCGGATAGAACAGACGTCAGTTCTCAACAAATAGGATGTAGATCTGAAGACCTTATCGAGGTTCATTGATGAAACTAGTAGTACTTCTGGAGATGATTTACTTGTCTCGTCAAAATTTGGCTCTTTAAAATCATAGAAAAAATTCCTGACCGGAAATTAGTCATCATGCGTTCGCCGAGCGTCACGCAGGTCATGACGAAATGGGAAAATGATTTCAGGCCCATAGTTTATTAAACATGGTTTGTAAAATAGAACCCGTCAAGCGAAGGGCATAGGTACGAATATGTTTTCGTCTGGACATTTCTTTTTGTTTTTCATACTCACGCGCTTACATGCAAAGATGTAATATTAAATAAATACGCTGGATAAAAGTTTAAGTGATTGGCTGGCATCACACCCATTTTCAAAATTTTAACGTGGTTATGCACGTTTTTCCAAACTTTGTTTAATTGCCCATTCAAATGACCTGACCTTCTTGTTTTCCACATGAGTTTAAAGCCATGTGGTGTACTTTTATCACTACAACAAACGGTTCAATATAAGGCATTACAAACTTTGCTTTGAGCCCTTATGACGCCCAGACAGAGACCTTTTCCCTGACCCTTACTCTAAATTCTGAAACGTGTAATTTCTCATCGTCATCTCGAAATACCGCCACCCCAATTTCCGTAACGAATTGGCCGTCTTTAT